AAAAAAGTACACAAATTGGTTGTAAAGTTAACAAAATATATAAGAGCTAATATAAATCTATTAAAAAAAAACATACATGTAAGGATGGTGATCTGGCAAGGCTGCAGTTTGTGGGAGTTCCTGGATAACACTGTGATCCAGGGAAAACACATCTGCAGTAAGTGTGCAGCTTCAAGTAAAGTTTTTTTGCCTCAGAGTTTATGGTCTGGAGATGAATTACAAATACTGTGATACATCAAGGAGGAGGAAAGTATCTGAATTCACACACTATCCTGATTTGAGAATTTATTGCCTTTCCTTCAGTATCTTTGAGCCAAAACTTTGGAACTCTCTCTTGAACAGCATTGTAAGTGTACCAACAACAAAAAGATTTCAGTGGTTCAAGAAACCAGTGGGGGTGGCATGGTGGCTCAGTGGTTAGCACTGTGGCCTCACAGCACCAGGGACCCAGGTTTGATTCCAAACTCAGGCGACTCTCTGTATGGAGTTTGCACATTCTTCCTGTGTCTGCATGGGTTTCCTCCAAGTGCTTTGGTTTCCCCCCACAGTCCAAAGATGTGTAGTTTGGGTGGATTGGCCATGCTAAATTGCCCCATAGTGTTCAAGGATGTACAGGCTAGGTGGATTAGCCATGGGTAATGCAGGTTTCAGGGATAGGGTACAGGGGTTGGTCTGATTGGGATGCTTTTTGTAAAGTCAGTGTGGATCGAGGGGCCAAATGACCTGCTTCCACACTGTATGGATTCTATGAAGAAAGCAGCTCACTACCACCTGGTCCAGGGCAATTAGGAACAGACAGTAAATATTTTGGCCCAGTCAGAAACACCCACACCCCATGAATGAATAAAAGCAAAGAGGAAACAGCTTCCGCATAGATAGTGTGAGAAATTAAAACGCAGGATTTCAAAGGTTTAGTCACTGGATTATTACCTGAGCTGTGTATAAATTGGCATAAGGTATATATAATTAGATGAATCAAAGACTGATGTGGGAGAAGTAAGTTCCAGTTCATAGGCTACTGGCACCATTACTGGTGAAAATAGGGGCTGTACCAACGGGACAGTCTATGCCTGGGGCCAATATTCTTGCAAACTACGTAGCTAGGAAAGTAGAGACAGTTCTAAACTAAATAGTGGAAAGATGTGGTGTATTAAAGAGTAGAGACGAGGTAAGAGAGGAAAATAATAATATGGGAAGTGAGGGTCAAAGAATGGCAGGAAAATGCAGAGAGAAAAAGTAAAAGTAGGAATATACTAACAAAGATAACAAAAAGTGAAAACTAAAGGAGGTAGTGA